TGAGCAATGCAGTAGAAATGGGAGGCCTGTATGCTCAAGTGGAGCCTAGAAATATGAGGAAGGAAGTGGGGTGTGAATATGCGCAAGTCAAATTTGAAGAACAAAGCGCTATGCAAAAATAGATAAATAGTGCCGTGAAAAAATATTTACCCCATATTTCCTGATATCTTGCTTTTTGCATATTGGTCACAGTTTTGAGTTTCAGAACATTAAACTAATCTTAATATTAGGAAAAAAATAACTCAAGTAAATTCAAAAGGCACTTTTTATTAGAAAAAAAAAGTCCAAATCTATTAAAATGTTTTGATTATCTGAAACATTTTAATGTGACAAATGTGGAAGGAAAAAAGAAATCAGGAAGCAGACAAATACTTTTCATAACATAATGCAACCTTTTGCATTGCTGAGCTTACTACAAAATAAATAAATAGCTGGTCTGTTCTCTGGGTGTGTCCTTGACACGTAGTCACACTGTGGCAAAGACATTGAGCAATACAATTACAATCCCTTTGTTCAGGCTTCTCTGGCACAGTATCTCAGACACTCCCTGAAATAGTCAAAGACTGCCTCACTACCAGGTGGCTACAACTGGTCCAAGGAGACCTGTTAGAGAAGCTGGGAGAAGATCTGGACATGATTCAGCACACAAATGGCCTGAGGATAAAAACTCCTCTTGAGCCTCTCTGTTTTTGTTCGGAACCTTCTGCCTGATCTGGACATGCAGTTTGCATGCTTGAAATTTGGTGGTAATTCATTTTAGTCTGATTAGCCTGCAACAAACACATGGCTCTGAGCATGACCCAGCTATAGTCTAGCTTCATCTGGGATGTGATAATGCCTTCCTATGTTTGAATGCTCCAAATTCCAAGTAATAAAATGCAAAAATGTTTTAGTGGCCAACATGATGAAATCATTTTTGGAAAAATCTTCTAAAATAATTAAATAAAAAAGATTAAAATATAAAATAATTTAAATAATTTAAAATATAGAATATAACTGCACAGACATCTCAAACTTATCATTGTTTAGCTGTTTTGTTTGTTTGTTTTATTAACATGCAATTGCAGGAAAAGTGTTGTTAACTGTTCTGATAATTAGTTATTGTATTGTGTACCCAATCACACACTGTCTATAGAGGTGATATCAATATATTTATAGTATCATGATATGCAGACATGATAATTATGAAAAATACTAGGACCATTCACACTCAGTTGTGCTTGATTTAATTTTTTGTCTTGCTGTAGGCTATAAATATAATGAATGATACTCAAACATAAATACAAGTGATTCATTTTCTTGTTTTGTTCTTTCAATATATTATTTTGTCAAGTTTTTTGTCTTTTGTTATGTTGCACTTGTGCTTTCGAGTTCACTCGTGGATTTGCTCTTTCATATTCATAGAATGTATTCACTTGCGAAGACACACTAGATATGGGGGTGATTGACGTCATTTCACTGAGTAAATGTTCTTGGTGGCATTGCATTGGCTGATAATAATATTTGTTCATCACCTGATCTAACCTTATTTTGAGTTCCTACGTTCCTCCTTGTTGCATTATGAAAAGTGATGTATAAATATGTATGTAATCATTTTTCTAAGCACTTACATTAACACAGGAATCGGTCCAAATCCATCTAACCTTTGTCACACTGCTTTGGAGTTTAATGAACAACATGTGATGAAGTGTTTAGCAAACTGTAAATTTGGTGAAACAAGCAGAGCCCTTCTTTCCGAGTTTCTCACTTTCAGACTGACTGCCTTAAATGAGCACTGCAAGTTTCCTGTTTGAGGCTGAATAGCAGAGAGTGGCAGAGCAATTTAGGTTGTGGTCAAAAGGGGGACTTGAGAACAGAAACAGACTGGGACATCACAAACACAGTGAAGCAGCATCTCTCTTGCCAGGTACGTTTCTCATAAGATATAAAGATTGAACTTCCTTTCTGAAGATCTAAAGCTGTATTACTAATGTAAAGCCAAGTTTTATGCTTTGTTCAACCTGGAAGAACTTGAGGATTCTAGTGTAGAAAAATCAACTGTAGTACTATACACTTCCTCAGTAACTGATTTTGTGTTAGTGTATTATGACCTGTATTATAAATACAATGTTACAGCTGCTGCGTTTCAGAGGTTGAAAGGCCAAAGGTGACTTATCGGATGCTGTAAAGTGACTGCTGTCTTCATGGCCTCTGTTCATCTGCTTAGACTGCTAAGCTTGATGACTGGTAATAATGACCTGTTTCTGTCTTTAGTTCTGTTGCTGATAATGCTTTTAAACAGTTCATGCAATGTAAAAACAAGTGTCAATGTAGAATGACTGCACCATATGAGTGAGAGAAAAACAATGGGGAAAAAACAACATAAAAGCTGCATAGGTTTTACGAAAATCTTATATCCATACTATTGGTATTACTGTATTATTTTCGTGTAGTAATACTTTTGGCTACTTTGATAATGTGAAAAAGTCATAATCGTGTAACCTCATCAAATTAATCTTTAGTAATTTTGCAGTAAAGGTAGGATATGTTCCTTAGAATTTGAAGACAGAAAGCAGAATACAGGAAGACAGAACATCCACTCATTTCATTTTTAATGAGTTGACAGCAATATTAGGTTGATTTCAGAGAAGTCACTGGTGGTTTTTTTGTTATTTTTATAGGGTTGATGTTTCTTAGTGGTTAGCCAGCTTTCATAATAGCATCTCTCTGTGCATCAGAGTTTCTATTTGTGGGTCACCTATTTTATTTTATTATTCGTCAGCAAAGATATTATTACAACATTTTGTGGTTTTGTGATGTTTTTGATCTTCCCTTCTGCTCTCCTCTTCCTCTCACCCTTTTGAGGTACCTCAGTTCTCCAGCAGGTGAAAGGCTTCAGCGTTAGAGTACCCAAAACAGTTGTTGCTGATGAAGGAACCTGTGTTGTGGTGCCATGTCAGACAGAACCTTACAATCGAGTTATCTGGTACCAGTATCATAATCTAAAGTATCCTGTTGTTTATGATGGAGTTAATTCTTATAACGTGGAACAGCAGTTCAGAGGACGCACCAAAGTATCTGGCAACGCTGCAGAGGGAAACTGCACCCTGATGATTGACAATGTGAGCACAGCTGACCATAACCTACGTGTTTATGTGTGGATCAATCCAGACTCTCAGACAACTCAGACATTCCATGATCAAACTGTAACTATCAGTGTTGGTAAGTGAATATTGTCAAACTTCCATTTAAGTCAGACTGACCAATGTTACGTGCCAGTTTAGTTCAGTGGATGAGCAGGTGACTGGGCAACCACATGTGTTATAGAGCAGCACCCGGGTATGGGTATGAGGCCCTTTGCTGCGTTTCTTCCCCTCTCACTCTCTCCTCCCTGCCTCCCTGCCTCCCTGTTCATCTCACTGCAATATCACCATAAAGGCAAAAAGCCAAAAAGTATTATTTAGAAAATGACCATGGTTGCAGGAGCTTAATAAAAAAATATATATATATAAAAAAAAATTCTGTGAAAATGTAAATAAAAACAACTAAAAACTAGTTCTGACAGAATTTGGAAAACTCAAAATCTGTTATACATCCAAGAAACCCAGCACATAACACGGATACTTGGTTTAAGTGTACAATAGCAATTTGCCATACAGTACATGTCATTTAGAAAATTCTAAATCTCAAGATATACAAGACATTTTTTTCTCTTTATTACGTTTTTTTTTGTTTTTTTTTACTTCTAGAAAGAAAAGCTCCCATAATCTACATACAGAAGAAAATGGTGGAAGGGGAGAATTTCCAGGCCAACTGCAGCATAATCTACTCTTGCCCTTTCTTACCTCCATCCCTTCAATGGAACGCAAACACACTTCTGGAAAACTACACTTTTGTGGATTTCCACATGGAAGTGCATGGCCAGTGGTTCTACCAAAAGACACTGCGAGGAGTAGCAACATATCTGATGCATAACAGGAGGATTCGCTGTTCGGCTAAGTTTAAAACCTTTACCATTGGAAGTGAAATGACACTCAACATTTTATGTGAGAAAAGCAATATGTGCTCTAAATACAGTAAATCGTAGACCTACATTTATTTATCTTAACAAACTGTCTTGTTGTTATGATTTCCTATATCCACAGATAAGCCTGTCACTGTTACAGTGAAAAAGGAAAAGAAAGTTGTGGTGGAAGGTGACAGCATCAACATTGAGTGTGTTGCTAATAGTAACCCCCCACCACACAAATACTTATGGTTTATAAGACAATTAGACCAGCACAAGATCAAAAATTCAACTCAGAGTACAAAGCATTTCAACAACATTGCACGAGATACATCTCTGTCCTGCATGGCTCAAAATGCTTTTGGAGTGCAACAGTCCGTCTGGGTGGATCTGGATGTTCAGTGTAAGAAAAAAAGAAACACACACACACACACACACACACAACAACAACAACAACAAACCACAATAACATAATAAAAATAGGCTATTCATCCTAGAAAATATATCAATATTTGTCATCTTAGCAGGGGTGTGGGAAAGGAATATTATATTTTGAATTGCATCGCTACAAGGAAACCAAATATCAATATTTTTATTTAATCAATTAAAATAATCTGGGAAGAATTAGAACAAGAAGTTTCAGCTCACACACCACCATCCAGAGATAACTTTAGACAAACAAGGGTATGTTAAATCAGCTCAACCGAAATAAGTGCCCAACACTGGACACACAATTTGACGAAGCTACTTCATATTTAAGAGCAAGTCAGTTGCTCAGTCATATGAGTAAAAATAGAATAGCAACCTCCTAGCGTCAGTCAAAAACACCAGTCCCTGTAAATTGACCTCTTTCGCGATGAGAGGAGGTGGAGAAAAGGATAAACTCCAGTTATCTTATGAAATCCTACGTGCCAGCCACTCGAAATTCCAAACTGCTGCCAAAATGGTGGCTTTCCTATCAAAAATTATCCTGGCTAATGGTCACAATCCCCGAACGCTATTTAAAATTTTTAATTTAGTGGTCAATCCCTGCCCTGTTATGCCACTGGTGTGCTCTCCTGCTCTTTGTGAACAATTTTTAAATCACTTCTTAGATAAAGTTTCATCTCTTAAGTCTTCACTTCCTTTAATGTCTAGCCCTGTTTGTAGCCCTGGTTGTTCGTCTACTTTCCATCAGTTTGAGCCCGTGTCACTCCTTGCTCTTAAGCATTTAGTTGAACAACTGAACAATACTAATCCTATACATGATACCCTCCCATCTCGCATAGTTAAGGACTGCTTCGATGTAATTTGACCCAGTATTTTATCGCTATTGAATTCTTCCTTACTCTCTGGCTGCGTCCCGTCAGCTTTTAAACATGCTATAGTTCAGCCTGTTCTTAAAAAAAGGAACCTTGATTATAATGATTATGTGAATTACAGGCTGATCTCTAAGCTCCAGTTCCTGTCCAAAATCCTCGAGAAGCTAGTTCTTCTACAACTCCAGGCGTACCTGGATGAGAATCACATTAATGATAAATTCCAGTCTGCCTTCAAACCACATCATAGCACTGAAACAGCGTTGCTTAGAGTCCTCAACGATCTTCTTCTAATTGCTGATACTGGACGCTCTGCGGCCCTAGTTTTATTGGATTTATCCTCGGCCTTCGATATGGTAGATCACAACATCTTATTAGCGAGGCTTGAGCATACTGTAGGCATTAAAGGTGTTGCCCTTGATTGGTTTAAATCATACCTCTCCAATAGGTCCTTCTCTGTCAACCTGGGCACTTGCTCTTCCTCCGCTGCACCTGTCTGCTGTGGCGTGCCTCAAGGATCTGTGTTGGGCCCTACTCTTATCTCACTGTATATGCTCCCTCTAAGTGCAATCTTTGAGAAATACCGCACCGCCTTTCACTGCTATGCTGATGATATACAGATCTACTTTGAACTAAATGATGATCTTGCTTTGTCCTTGCACTGCTTTCAAGAGTGCATGCGTAAGGTCAAAGATTGGCTCTTAGCAAACTCTCTTATCCTAAATGATAAGAAAACTGAAATCGCGGTATTTAGCAGCAACGTTCCTCATGGCCAACTTTGTGATGCCTTTGGTTCCCTTACCAGCTCCCTTTCTGACACTGTTAGCAATTTGGGCGTGTTGCTTGACAGCTCGTTCAAATTCGATAAACAAGTGTCTGCTGTAGTTAGATCTAGTTTCTACCAACTGCGTCTCATCTCTAAGGCTCGGCACTATGTTTCACATAAGGACCTGGAAAAGCTCATCCACGCCTTTGTGACTTCTAGGCTGGATTACTGCAATTCACTGTATTTCGGTCTTCATTCTTCCCTCCTTCATAGACTGCAGACAGTCCAAAATGCTGCAGCACGCATTCTGACCAGAGCTGGGAAGTTTGCCTGTATCACCCCTGTAAAGTAAAGTGTAAAGTGTGTGTGTTAGTCCCCATAGGGAAATAGTTCCTCTGCATTTAACCCATTCACCCAGTGAAGCAGTGGGCAGCCACCAATGTAGCGCCCGGAGAGCAGTGTGTAGGGATGGTACCTTGCTCAGGGGTACCTCAGGGTAGCCGTTCAGTGGAGTCAAACCCCCGACCTTCCGATCATGGGGCCACCACTCTACCTACTGAGCTATCCCCTGTTCTAGCTAGCCCATTAAATACCGCATCCAATTTAAAATACTGCTGCTTACGTTTAAAATTACCAACAACACAGCACCGAGCTACCTTAGCAAACTCCTTAAATCGTATGTTCCCGCCAGAGCACTAAGATCATCTACTCAGTTACTCTTGGTGCAGCCTAGATCTCAGCTAAAGTCTAGAGGTGACCGGGCGTTTGCCCTGGCTGCACCAGAGTTGTGGAATAACCTTCCGATTGCGATCCGGGCATCCGATTCTATCCAATCTTTTAAATCACGGTTAAAAACCTATTTGTTTAATCTCGCTTTTCCTGCTTGTTAATGCTCGTGCCTGATTCTTAGACTTGCTCTATTTTTCTTTATACATATTTTTTATGGCTTGTGCTTTTACTATGTTTTTACTTGATATGCATTTTATACTACCCCTGTGTATTAGTGGCAATGACCTGTGAGTATATTTAATACTTCGTTGAGGCCTCATACTCATGTTACTTTTCTGTCTTTTATGTTAAGCACTTTGGTATACCGCTGGTTTTTAAATGTGCTCTATAAATAAAGTTTGTTGTTGTTGTTGTTGTTCTGCAACTGACTGCAGCTTGTAGTGACTAAACCCATTTGTAGGCATTTTTTGGTCATGAGTGTGCATGATACGATTTTAAAGCTTTGTTGGAGATGTTAGCGTATGCCCCGTGAAAGTGTCTGCATGCATGTAGACAAGCATGAACAATTTAAACTATGTTTTACTCACTTACTGTTGTTGAGCAGTTGTAGGATATTTATATTTATCATATCTCTTTGTCATTCCACTTGTCTTCTCTTTGCCATAAATAATTTTAAGCTTCAAAAACCTTAAAACTTACAGTGGCTAAAATGTATGTAAATAATCTTAATTTCTGCCAGAAACTAATTTTTAGCAGAAAGACATCATGGTTTCCTTAGACTTCCACCACTCTTCATTCTAGGGAGTTTTGTCAAAAAGGGCCTTATAAATTGTAAGTTTAGGCCAAGATGATAAATAATTTTCATGTTCACTGAAAGTCATAAACCACACATATCTAAGAGGTTTGCATAAATGTGATGTAGTAATATTTGCCTACCGGCAAATATACTATTTGCCTACTAATACACCTAATATACTGTTTGCCTACCGGGCAAACAGGTCGGTAGGGATGATGCAGTAAACATGGGGCTGCATTACATCCTGCAACACCTCGACCGCCTGGGAACTTATGCCAGGGTCCTGTTTGTGGACTTTAGTTCAGCTTTTAACACCATTGTGCCTGAACTTCTCTCCTCCAAACTCTCCCAGCTCAGCGTGTCACCAGCTACCTGTCAGTAGATCACCAGCTTCCTGACAGATTGAAAGCAACAAGTGAGGCTGGGGGAGATCACCTCTGAAACCCGGTCCCTCAGTATTGGTGCCCCTCAAGGATGTGTCCTCTCACCACTACTGTTCTCCCTCTACACTAACGACTGCACCTCCAAGAACTCGGCTGTCAAACTCCTAAAGTTTGCAGATGACACCACTGTCATTGGCCTCATTCAAGATGGTGATGAGTCTGCATACCGGCAGGAAGTTGAGCGGCTGGTACTCTGGTGCAGTCAGCACAATCTGGAGCTGAACACTCTTAAGACTGTAGAGATGACAGTGGACTTCAGGAGACATCCCTCAACTCTGCTCCCCCTCACCATATCAGACAGCCCTGTGTCAACTGTGAAGACCTTCAAGTTCCTGGGTACAACCATCTCCCAGGACCTGAAGTGGGAGACCAACATCAACTCCATCCTCAAAAAGACCCAGCAGAGGATGTACTTCCTGAGACAACTGGGGAAGTACAGTCTCCCACAGGAGCTGCTGATCCAGTTCTACACTGCGGTCATTGAGTCTGTCCTGTGCTCCTCCATCACAGTCTGGTATGGTGCAGCCACTAAACAGGACAGGAGCAGACTGCAGCGGACTGTACGGGCAGCAGAAAGGATCATCGGCACCCCCCTGCCCTCCATCCAGGATCTGTACCTCTCAAGAACCAGGAAACGGGCAGGGAAAATCATCACAGACCCCTCACACCCTGGACACAGACTTTTTGATCTGCTGCCCTCTGGCAGACGGTACAGAAGCCTGCAGACCAGGACCACCCGACATAGGAACAGTTTCTTTCCCCTCGCCATCTCCCTTCTTAACAGTTGACCTGTCACACTGCTCCCACTGCCAGACTGCAGCTGCACCTTATGTACATTTTGTAGTATTCATTCCACCTCATTCATTTCTGTATTTTATGTATATAAGTTTAGATTCGTTATTTATAGTTGGTTTACACAGCTTTGTGTATGTATGTGTAATGTGTATATATAGACACGTGTGTGTGTGTGTGTGTGTGTGTGTGTGTGTGTTGTGTGTGTGTGTGTGCTGTGTGGTGATGTGTGTGTGATCGTGTGTGTCTGCTGTGGTGTGATGTGTGGATTCATGCTGTGCTGAGAGCCACCATCTACCGGGCAAAACCATATGATTATGATTCTGATTCTGATTTATATTTGGTCTTTTTAGATCGCCCTGTAATCCTACCTGAGACCTCGTGCCACCTTAAAGGAGACCTTCTGAGGTGTATCTGTTTGGTTGATGCATCCCCTAATGCTTCTATATACTGGATTATAAATGGAAATTACACCCATTTGTCCTCATTCACCTCTGCTTTGACAAATAAAAAACATGTAGTCTTTGGGGAAATAAAGATTAAAGTTAAAACCCAGACCAATGTATCGTGCACAGGCAGAAACCCACATGGAAGTGACACCAAAAAGATACCTGCAGTCAGTTTGTCAGAATCATGTAAGTAGCACTTAAGACTAACAGTGTGTATATGTTTGTGTATTCAGGCATGAATGGTGTTTACCCAATTTCCTTCGGGGTCAACCTTCAGGATCAATAAAGTTTTATTGAATTGAATTGAATTGAATGTGTGTCTGTAAAAAAATGTTTCTTTGTTTTTCAGCCCTTTTGCTGTGGCTCATGCTTCCAGGAATGATTTTCCTCTTTGGATGTGCTGTTCTCATTTACAGAAAATATCCTGTAAAGAGGTTAGAAAACTGTGTTTCTTGTTATTGTTTTTGGTGTTTAAGATGTAAAAGTATTAACACAGATTTCTTTTTAAATACTTGACAAACATATATTTCAAATTTACTAAATTCAAACATCTTTTAGATTATTTTTTGGAGGAGGTCATGTCCAGCAACAACAGATAAACAACATTTTTCATCGGTGAGGAAAATCATTTCAAATGAAGTAGCTACCTCAGTTTTGATGATGTGGTGTAAAGATATGATAATTAGTATGCAATAAGTAAAGTAGCCTTATTTATCTGAGTAATCTCTTCTGTAAGAGCTCAAATATATATATGAAAGGCAGCAAAAACCTTTACACAATGATCGGGGGTCAGTTGCTGCAGAATATAACATGGTATGTCTCTAAATGAGCAAAAATATTTAAAGTTTCTTGGTGGCTTTGTAATATTTTTCTTCTAACTTTTGCTAGCTCACAAAATGAAGACACACAAATACACCTACAGAGACCTGACAGAGACCTGGAGATGGAAAGACTTTCCTGTGTTTATGACAATGATTTCCTGGAAGAAATGCAAAGATCGGCGAGATCTCAACACTACCAAAACAGTGAAACGCTTCTCCAAAGCAAAAATGAAACAGAGCCACCTGACGAGGTTTTACCACAGAAAATACTCATTTCAAGTTTAGCATATGAAATCACACTACATGTATCAGAATGGAAGTTGATGTAGATCTTGACACATATAATCAAATTGCTTAAATCAGACTGTACAGTTATGTTATGCTATTGTTTTTTTAACTATTGTAATTTCTCAAACATCTAAAAGTAGTAAAATTATATATTTTACTTCCCACAAAATTTGTATTGCAACATGAGGGTTTATCTGGAGTAATGACCAGAGGGAATTTGCTGCTGTCTCACACAGTAGGTTCCATTGATTGTTGGAGCAATATAGTCTACTTGCAATGCATATTAGAGTGACATACTTTTGTACTCTCAGTTTTCTCTTAAGCAATTCTGTTAGACTTGTCACTGTTAGACTAGATAGTTTTGCCAAAGCATCAGTTATATTTTTGAACATATACATGTCTATCTTTATTTCCTGCTGCAATCTTAACGTGTTAGTGTTCCTAATGCTTACAAACAAGGAAATCAATATTTAAACAACAGAAAACTGAATTGCAAGCAGAAGAATACTTGTTCTTTACTCCACTGCAAAACTGACAAACATCTATAATCATGCCAAGGTGGGAATATATTCAAATAAGGATAATTAAAATATTGTGAAAAACAATTTCTTACACAATGCCCTCTTCTATGAGAGGTCTAAGTTTGAATATAAAATATACTGAATATATATATTTATATATATTATATATAACACTAGCAGATATATTATATATATATATTATATATTTGAATATATAAAAGTTTATGATTATAGAATTTCAGACAAAGAAGAGCCAACATCAATTGCAGTTTTGCATTTGAGTTAATATTAACTCACTGGTGGCTGCTATAGCTTTTTGTAGTCCCCTGTGTGTTTGATGGAGCTTGACTCAGTGTTTCCAGTTTCTCACATTTTATATCAGCTTATCTTTGAACCCACGAGTTAACCTGTAAGTCTTTCATGAAATACAGCCGGAGTCAGACTAGTTGTAGTTTTAGTCACAGCATTTTGGAATCTTCTGCTGCTGCGTAAGTAAATTTATTTACCTAATGAAATGAAACACAGAGCCTGCTTGCAATTAAGAAATTGAGCAATTAAAATCATATCCAAAAGTTATTTTAATCATATTTTTAGAAAACGGAAACAGGATCACAATTACAACTGAGGTTACAACTGCATCTATTGCTCAAACGTCATCATGCTGATCTGAATTCTTTAAAATCAAATGTCTGTGACAGAGAACACAAATTATATGCTGATGATATTGCAGTAATAAGCAAATATGCTATTCATTCTGTGTCAGTGTTATTAGAGGCCGTTGAAACATAGTTATCCAGTTACAAAATCATCTAGTATAAATCAGAAGACATACCAGTATCTTCAGCTTGCTGTCCTATTCAAAAGAATGAACCCACTGTGCAGAGTGATGTCTTTTAAATGTCACTTTTAGACGTACATTTTTAGTCCAATTGATGGGGTTGTTTTGTAAACCCAAGCAACATCTTTTTCGACGTCTAACGTCTAGTGTTGACATTGGTAGGACCGCCGTGTACGGGCTTTTTATAGTCCACAACGACCACATTTGGATTTGTGGACGTCTTGTTAACATTATTATTACTTGACATTTTAAGATGAATTTCACCATTTTTAATATTTCAACACATTTTAATAAATGACAAATTCAACCTGGTTACAAACAAATAAGTTCATTAATTGAAATAAGTACACCAATTAAAAATAAACAGGAAAATGTAAAATGCAAATCAGACATTATTATTAAAAGAAAACCAGAATCATCATAGCACTAACCCCATACTATATAAATTATTTAGTTATTTGCATCCCTGTTGTATGAAATGTGCCTCTAACAAAATAGAAACAACAGAAGATCTTAGCTGCCAAAAAAGCTGTGATGTGTTATTATTTTCAAAAATGGAAAATTTGTCTGGGAAGCCAGAGGAAAATTTATCCAGTATAAAATAATTGTTTGGTATTACCACACTCTTTCTAGACAATGTAAGTTTATTCAAGGATGCTTTGTGAGGGATTTTTAGGACAGAAACAGGTATAAAGAAATGGTATAAAGAAAAAAGCTAAGCTACTTCTTTTTTGGACAACAACATGCTTACACACAAAGTTGTTCCAAGTGTAAAAATAGAAAGTAATTTTAAAATGTCATTTGTCTTTCTAACCACAAACATTTCAGTTGATATGTGTTTTTTTTTTCTTTCTAAATGTTGATTCAGGGCAATAATGGTGTCTACAGTGAGGACTGAGATCATTCTCTCAGTTTACATCATTTCATTCCTGATCGGCCTCCCCTGTAATCTCTTGGCTCTCTATGCGTTTAGTACCAAGATCTGTTCCAAGCTACGTCCAACAGACATCCTGCTGCTTAATTTGACCATCTCCGACCTGTTGTTTTTGGTCATCCTTCCTTTCAAGATGCACGAGGCAGCATCTGGTATGAAGTGGGATCTGCCCAACTTCATGTGCTCCATCACTTCCTTCACATTTTTCTCCACAATCTACACCAGCTCCTTGCTGCTGATGGCAGTCAGTGTGATCCGCTACATAGGAGTAGCATTTCCTATCACCTATCATCTACTGCAGAAACCTGTGTATGCAATTGTTATCAGTGTTGCTGTTTGGCTCATCTCATCAGCACACTGCAGTATCATTTTCATCATCCAGCATCACCCATCTCTGGCCAGTAATAACTCCAATGCGTGTTATGAACAGTTTTCAGAGAAGCAGTTGGAGATCCTCCTCCCAGTACGTCTGGAGATTTTCTTTGTACTCTGCCTCATACCGCTTCTTATTTGTGTTTACTGCTCCTTGCGCTGCATCTCGATTCTGTACAGCCTATCCGGGATATCCCAGATGCAGAAACAGAAGGCCATTGGCATGGCCTCAGGGACTCTTGCTGTGTTCCTTATTTGTGTCCTGCCATTCAGTTTATCTCATTTAGTGGGTTACATCCAGGGACTAAGTCCAGAGTGGAGGTACTACATGTTGCTTCTGAGCTGTTTCAACACCTGTATCGATCCCATCATCTTCTACTCTTCCTCGTCTACCTTTCGCTTCTCAAGTGAAACATTCATTTTTAGGAAGTGGTTCACTTTTTTAGGACTGAAAAGGAACAACAGCACCACTAACTAAGAAATGGAAAAATACATTTTCAAAACTAAATGTACCATTAACAGATTTAAGTTCACTGCTGATGATGATCTAATATTTTTCGAGAGGACTGTATTTTCCTTTTGAAACCATTTTTCCTGTTTTCTACAAAATTCAAAGACATGTTTGTAGCATATAAAAATTTCAAAACTTTATTTTATTTTTTCATTCAAGTGCAAATATCAAAATATAAAATGAGCCCTGCAGCCCTGACACAAAACTTCCTCTTTTCTTTATTTTGAACTGGCCACTTTTCTGCATTCATGCAGTCTGCAAGTTATTTAGAAAGAGGTATGTTGTTAATTACAAACCACACACATTAAGTAAGAGGTGATGGCACTTCTAAAAGGCACCTAAATCAGGTTTTACATTTATTTTAGCAAATGATAAGACACATTTTTCGTCAGTGAAATATGTGGGATTTAAATGATTGGAGTTTTTCCGTTTGTTGTGTTTTTTGCTCTATTTTTGAAAGCTTTTTCATATAACAACTGATTTTCTTTATTAGTATCAATATATAGTAATTTATTTAACCATAACTGCAAAGCTCATATGTAATATATATCACTGTGATATTAGATGCTGTAACTACAGTTCTCTACTGGTCCTGAACTTTGGATTTAAAATCACATCCAAATATCAGTCAGTGAATTTAAAAGCATTTGAAATGAGTGGAACTGTGTTGTTGTAAGTCTTAATGAAATAGATGCTAACTATGGAACCTTGTTAATATTGTTGAGATTATCCAAGCTGTCATAGTCCTGAGTCATTTTGACCCACCGTTCTTGGTTGTCTTGTGTTTTTGTAATTTATTAGTTCATTATTTATTCTAAGATCCCTAGGTTGTTCCGTTTAGTTTATTGGATGCCCCCTTGTATCTCTGCCCTGTGTATCTCCCTATGTGTCCCTGTTTCACATTGTGATGTGAGTTCTTGTGCTGTGTCTCCCTTCGTGTTTTATTCTGTTATGTTTTCCACATTTCCCCAGCGCGTCATGTCTGTGCTTTCCCTCATGTTCCCTCGCTCCCTCGTCTGCCTCTCCTCCACTCCCACGTCATGTCTCCTGTTTTATTGTGAAGGTCCCACGTTTTCATGTTCATTCTGTTCAGTCCAGCCTCCCCTGTCTCGTTATGGTTATCCGTGTCAGCTGTGTTCCTCATGTTTTGTCACTTCCTTGTTATCCCTCTGTGTATTTAAGTCAGCATCTCCCTCAGTCCTCTCTCCTGCTTCATGCTGTGTGTTCCCATGTGTGCATCTCTGTAAAGTTTAGCTTATATTTTCCCAGTCTAGTTTAGTTTTGTATCATTTCCTTGAGTCAGCAAATAAAGCTGCATTTTGAGTTCATTCCCGTGTGTTGCGAGTCTTGCATTTTGGGTCCAATCTCCTGCGTGCCACACAGCCATATCATGACACAAGCTCCTTTTAGTCAGGTGCAATCTTTAATTTGAAGTTATGGTGGATCCCATATGATAGAGCATGCCTCAAAACAAGTTATGGTGGTCTACTAGATTCCAAAGTTTACCACCAATAAAATAAAAATTTTAACATTTTTGTATTTTTTTTCTTCCCTGGAGCTGGATTTTCTCATGTTGAGGAAGAGCTTTCCAGATGCTCAGTGTTATGGTCCCATCTTTGCTCAGGACCTACCATTTTTCCGTGCTCGACCCATTTCATTTCATTTTGTGGTTTCTCCAATGCGTGCATTTGTGTAATAACTTTGAAGACCTAAAAAGGACTATTTACAGCAGGTAAACAGTATCTGAAAGTCGTTTAATTAAGAAACAGGAAAAAACTGACTTAACGACCTGGTAAATGCATCTGGCTCTTCTGTTGATCCATCTGTTGTTTGCTAAAGACTTATCAGAAATGTAGTCATTGGAAGGGTGTCAAAAAACATTTTTAAGGATGGAAAATAAAAAGAAAAGGATGAGGCGGTGGTGGTATAGCCTGTTTGGCGCCCCAGGCGAACACTCCCTCTGGAATTTCGAAAAAACATCGATACAAATTATAAGTCTGTATCATAATGTTCAAATTCAAATTCAAATTCAATGTCTGGTGTTTTCATGTTTGTTGTTTTGCTTTTATTTTGTTTTATTTTGCGAGTTGGTTATTAGATGCTGCTCCAGCCAGCCAGAGAATCCCCTACCGCCACCGTCACTGACACAAGACAGATGCCAATTATCAGCACCAGAGAAGCAGCCAATAAGACATCGTGAACGCTTCCTGGCCATCCAGTGAAACTGTTGGGAAGACAACGTGAACATTTTCTTTGTACTGTATAATCTGCAGATTCTGACAGAAATCTGCAACTATCCTTTGAAGCACCGCTCCTCTCTAAAACAGCAATAAGGATCATTATTAGGTTATTTACATTATTGTGTAAATAACAAAATAACTTAAAGCAAAAATTGGGAAAAAACGTAAAGTCCGAAGTCTTTATATTAAGGGCCATGAGTCAAACAATACTCTTTGCTCTGGGTCTAAACAGAGCGCGTTGTGTGTGAAGTCTTCTTTTGCGCATGCGGGCCGCTTTGAGCGTTCACACTAGAGCACGTTTGCTGTCGCATTTTAGTTGTAGTGAGAACAAGCAGACAACCCTGGGCACGTGTGCCACAGCTGGCACGTAAAGGGTTAACTGATGGCCCAACCATAGGACTGGCAATCGGGCATTTTCATTTTTATGGGCCGATAATCTTATTTCTTTGTAATGGTATGAACAATGAAAGGTGTTGGATTGGCCAGATGCTGGCCGATGTGTAAATAACTGGTGGTAGCTATGCCGGAGCTGCCACAGAGGCCTGCAGGTGGATGAGGGAAAGCGGAGGCAGGAGGAGGAGAGACCCAAGGCGGCCGCCGGTCAGAGTATCAGGTGAACTGAACTTCAGGTAAGAAGTTATGACCTGCAGTCTATCTGGGTGTCATGAATCGCTGTGTGCAGGCAGGAGGTGAGGACTCAAAATGCAGGACTCGCAACACTGGAATGAACTCAAAAGGGCAGTTTATTGTAGATGCAGGAAAAAGATACAACTAATGAAGAACTAACCTAGACTGGGAGAATATTAGTGATGTGACGTTCTGTATCGAGGCTTCGAAGCGTGTGTCGAGTAATGGAGGGGGCGTTTCCGCGAAGCGCGTATCGAGGCTTGCTTCATTTATGGGAGGAGCTGAAAATGATGACGTCCAAAGCCTCGCTGCCCAGCTGTACCACGTGACTGGTTCAGGAAGCGGTTCGAACTTTGCCGCGAGCTATGACAGCGATATAAACCCCTCAGACCCCATTCAAAATGTGGGCGTTTGATGGAGAGTTGCGGTTAGTGAGAGTTAGAGACAGTTTGGAGAGAGTTAGAGACAGTTTGGAGAGAGTTAGAAACAGTTTGGAAAAAAAAGAAATCGCCTACGACCTGCCACAGTGGAGAAACTGTTGTTTTTAAATAAAAACCAATGATGTGTCCCCTAAACACTAATCACTGTCCTTGCCTCAATGTTACAAAAGCACAACCACTGTCCACACCTCACCTCACAGTATATGATCATTTCCATTTTAGGCATTTCCAAATAATCATTTTCCATACTGCCAGCATAAATATACACAGTATACTGCCATCACTACAATATAGATGTTTTACACACTCCTTTTGTTGTTGACATTTACAGGCTGTGTGCAAAATGCCACACTCTTCAAATTCATGCCAACGAATATTTTTACGTCCAGTAGGTGTCCTGCTAGAGCAAATGAAGCTTCAAGATGCCAACGAATATTTTTACGTCCAGTAGGTGTCCTGCTAGAGCAAATGAAGCTTCAAGAAGCTTCGCGTTGGGGTGAACCAATTGGATGAAAAGCTTCAGTGCTTCATGAGGCTTCATCTGCCCATCACTAGAGAATATAACCTAACGTTCCACAGAGAGGCACAAAAAGGATCACACAGCATGAGGGATGACACGACACTGACTCAGAGAAACACAGGGTTTAAATACACTGGGAAGTAACGAGGGGAATGAGACACAGGAGGGCACAGCTGGGAGAAATCAGAACTGACGAGACAAGGAAGCAAAGCAGAACACATTCACATAAGACACAGACCTTCAAAGTAAAACAGGAAGTATAACACAGAGACGCGAACTTGACTAGGGGAGACAGAGCAACTAAGAAACAGAGAACAACAACAAATACTGAGAAAACTAAACAGAATACAAGAAAGCCAAACTAACACACTAGACTATACAATAAACTGGGGCAACAAAGAGAACTAAGATAAAAGTACAAAAACTCAGAGACACAAGAAACTCAAAACACTGGGTCACCGACCCAGGACTGTGACACTGGGTCAGATATAAACCAAGTTTAGGTGGAGTTTATTTTCGTTGTGCTGACTTTTTACCATCAGTTACAATAACTCGTACTGCGTACTAGCTAGCATGACGGAGTTTCTATACAGCTGGGTGGGTGCTATGATGTTACTGATAGTGAACTTTATTTTATTCATAAGGTTAGTTAGTACAGTTGCCAACCGACCCATAAAAAACAGAATCGTTCCGTATTCAGAGAAAATATAACGCATTCCGTATTGAGCTGAGAAGGAATTCAGTTTGTCCCGTACTTCAACTAGAATGAAAAAAACACAAAGCTGGAGTTATTCTGCGTCTTTACGCTGTCAGCTGCATCTTCTTCTCTCATTCTCTCCTCCTCCCTCTCCTGTTGCTACTTCAATCATGAAACTGATCAATGATCAGCTAATAAGCTTTTTCTCTCTTGTTTGTTTATCGTCCACTTTGCGCCAGAAAGAAGAAACCAGCGGATGTTGCTCTAAACAACAGCATCACATTTAAGCTTGATCAGCTGTTGTTAGAATGTATTTAATATTAATTTCTAGTATCAGTTGATGTTTGCTGGAGCCACAGCTGTAAAAGCTGCTGGTCATGATATCGGTTTGGTTATCTGGCGAGAGGGAAACATGAAGATGAAACCAGGAGATGTCCTTACTG